CGTTTCTCATAGAACGATCAAATCGTGAGCGCTTTCACTTAATCGACTTAGTCGTGAGATTGATTTTCTCATTTTACTCCCAAACTTCTTTTCCGTCTCCTAGGCATTGCAGTGGATGTACGAAGAAAAGAAGCCTGCTTACAAACAGCTTTTTCGAAGAGTTCCCTCGAGTGGCACTAGGGACTCTCCTTCTCTCCATCTATTATTTCATTGCTGACGATTCGCAAAGGATTACAGTGCGCAGGTTAGGGGGGTCCCAAGGAAATTTTATGCGAAGATGCTCCGCCCAATGTTCAATGCCTCTTCTATACCATTTTCATATTCGTTCCGTTGGTAAATATTACTCCTTTCACGTACCTGCTTAATACCTCATTAGTCGTATGACGATTGTCTAACAATTAAATGGTCAAACTACTGTGGACTGAAAAAGGTACTCCTTTCAGGTAGACCCTCCCTGTATAGGTAATGGTAATGAGTCCACACCCAACCCCCCTCCCCATTGAAAAATGGGTTCAAGAGGTTAGAATTGACAATTATTGGGAACATGCTGATTCTTACTACAACCGATTATAAACATTATAATACTTTGAATTTCTTTTTTTCCAGTACGTTAGGGGAAGGAGAGCAGCATGAGAGGCGTGGGTATTTGGAATAGTGTCGTGCAACTACAATCCGGCGAGAGGCTATTGTCAGGTAGTAGATAGAAGGAATGCAGCCACTCTGCTTCCAATTATTCAGAGATGCATTAGGCTAGGTACAGAAGTCCACAGCGACGACTGGGCAGCCTACAGAAGAGTGGCTGCATTGCCAAACGTCAGCTCTCATCGAGTTGTCGTCCACAGACACAATTTTGTTGACCCGCGTACCAGAGTCCATACCAAGGAGGCAGAATCAGCCTGGAGCCAAAACCGGAGGAAAGGTTTAATGAGAAAAGATTTGCAGTCATACTGGGACGAAAGAATGTGGCGACAGTGGAGAGCAGGAGACATCAACAGGAGACATCAATGTCTCAATGAGGAATTTCCTGGCAGTTCTGCCCTTGCAATACCGCACCGATACTTCTGTTCTGTGAGGGTGTCCATGTGGTTCTGACATTTGCTGCTCTCGGTTTGTTTACTGCAAAAGGATAAAGTATTCGTAACTTTGTTCACTTTTTCTAGTATTCTTATTAAAACAAGCCAGTTGTGAAATGAAAAAACCATCTCTTAAACGCAGTAGATGGAAATATTCTCACCTAACTGTAGATACGGCTGTTACCAGACCGCGATAAGACCTCCTGTTTACAAAAAGGAGTCTAAAAATTAGGAGCCTTTTATTCTATAAGTTTAATTTTGCTGCTTGCAATCAAATCAATGGTCAAGGCCTCTATTTTTTTCAGCAAACAAGTTGTGTATTGTACGCTACGACGACAAACTTTCTTAAAATAATAAGATCGTAGAATTTATTTCCATTGTTACAAACCATCAACACTAAGATCAGTAGACCTCTAATTGTGAATGAACACTTTGGGCCAAATATCTAAACGTAGTTTAGCCCGTTTATTACCACGTTCTAAGTCATTTTCAATTTGCTCAACGATTTTATCTAAACATCATTTATTGTAAACAGTTTTATGAAAGCATATAGAGAAGACTTGAAAACCATTTATCTTCCTAAAACAACCCACCGAAGAAGACTGAGATCTGGAGGTTCAAAGATTCTTTAACCGCGACTTAAGTTAGACTTCGTTTAATATTTGGTCCTTTGTTCTTGACAAATTTTTAGGTGCAACCCAATACTAATCCTAACCACATTACAACAGATCCAGGAGGTTGATTGGGTGGCTAGAAACTCACTTTATAACAGCCCACCAAAAAGAGCATTATTATAAATTTAAAAAAACTTGCAACGCCGACCAGCCTCACAGTGCCAATAAGAAATCAAACAACAAATCTGCGTCATTTGCGTTTTTGTTGGCGTTGCAAGAGTTTGTGGAGTTTCAGGTCTCATTTTGTCCTTCCATAAGTGGAATGTTTTGAGGCAGTTATAGGAGAATTTAAATTTAATTAATTACCTCCCCCCCCTGCCCGCCCCAGCAAAAAAGTCTGGGATCTGCCCACAGTGCATGGGGAGAACAAATTGACACCAATTAAAAGCGTACCCATACAATTCAGATCAATTTTTTCAGTAGGCCAAAAAAGTGTGTAGAAACATGAATGTGTAGATAGACTGAATGAAAGTCATTCTAGTTATTGTTTGTTTCAATAATTTTAATGCCGGGATTTTATTAACAATATAACGTTGTTATTATGATGCTTTATGTTACGGTATCATTTCACTTTCACCATCATCTTTGACTCAAAACCATGGCAATATGAACAAGAAAGAAATTACTTGTAGTTATTTTCGATTACTATCATTAAGTAAAAAAATGATAGTTTCATACTTCTGCTATGTAACTGAACACGATCAATCGCTTTTTTACAACAGTTTAAAAAGACAATGTAATGGTAGATGTAATAAACTCTTTAATTATGAGGGCGTTCCAGGGGTTTTAGGAAAAGAGGGATATCTTAAAATAACTACTAGGGAACAAGGGAACACCGATTTCTGTAACTTTACAAGTAATCAAGAAATACTAAAGAATATCCAAAATAAATAAAAAGCAAACATGCACTAAGTTGAAAAACCGTTTAAAACTACATTAAAAGTTACAAGTAAAACTTTAGGATGGATACACTTTAAGAGGTTCTCTCTTCCTGCTGCCTTCTTGTAAATTTTGTGAAAATTTGTTTCAAAATTGATGTGTAAGAGGAAAAATTGCCTTTGCAATGACAAAATATTACAATTTGTCTCACTTTTCGGGCCCTGGAGAAAAATCAGATATTTTGTTCTTCACAGAAGAACTGGGGAAAATAAGCGACAGGCATCACACTACTCCCGCACTTATTGGTGGTATTGGAAGTTGCATGATGACCTTCACAGCTTCGTTCTATAAGCTAACTAATAGGTCCTCAAGAGATTTTCCCTCGCAATAAGATATGGGGGAAGCTTCTTAAAGATTTATCTTCGCCGTTGCTGGTTTTGTATAAGGTGCCATTTCCCCATTTGTATTCTCTTCAGGCTAGGAAAAGCCAGAAGGAAGAAGTTTTTTACGGGCAGATTTCTTTCCGTGTTGTAAGGCTGTTTCCCTGTAGGCAAATTTTACCTCAGTGAGGCACTTTCTTTAAATAGTGGACAGGCAAAAATGAAATATGGGAGAAATTCTGGGGAACAGTGAGAAATATTTTGGGGGATCAAGGGAACATCGGAACTGAGGAAAAGTAAATTTCGGGGAACACCTTAGTTTATTGTTGAGGAAAAAGGGAACAACTATAAGTTTATATAGGGAACAAGGGAGCATGCACCCCCTCCCCCTCTGGGAGGTCCTGAATTATATAGTATAAGGAAGCTACGTCATTATTAACTGCTTTATCGAGGCACCAGAGTGATATCAAAGGTCGCACACTAAGTTGACTGCATGCATGCTCATATTCAAATATTTCAGTTCAGCCAATCTGCTGCATGGCACTTCTCAGGAGCTAGTTCTTTAATGAGGGTCTCAGTGGGGTTAACCGATAGGCGTAAAATGGCCCAAATTTAGTCGATAGCTGTAAAAATTAAAAAATTTTAACCGTTAGCCGTAAATAGGGTAAAAAGAATTAAGCGTAAAAAAAATTTTTGCTGCTTAGATTTGATAACTTGAGGAACATGCTAAACTCACTTAGAACGGTTGTGTTTCTTATTTAGCGGCTACTTTGACTCTTTATGTTTCCGTTTCTGCTAGTTTTGCTTTTCACGAAGATTCTATTCAAATAAATTGTTAAATCATTTATTAGGAATGGAAAGGCCGCAAGTATGGTTTTGTGCACCTCTGCCATGTTTCCTTCTTTGGGGAATGATAACTTCTTCTCCCCCCCAGGCCGTTCAGTGATAGGTCAATTCTGTCGAGGTTGACAGTGGCGTTTGCTGTCTGGCTGTCACCATACATACGAACGACCTGCTCCACATGGAGCTTGCACAAGCTATGGTCACGTTTGTGTAGGGCGAGCAGCTTGTTCCCCGACTATTTGCATGAGGATTTTGAGGAGCTCGTGACGGAGCTGGCGGCCGGTAGCCAAGCAGTCGGTTGTGCTCACTCCTAACAGTTGTGCTGTTTGGTTGAGGTTGCACAGTCATCGAGCTCGAGGTTGTTGTTGTGGTTGTCAGCATTGTGGACGTTACAGCAGCGGTCCGGTTACGGGTAAGGTCCGCTGTCTCCAACAAGCACTGTGTGCACTCGCGTAGTAAATTTGGATCCATTGTAACTGATAAAGAACGACGGAAAGAAATAAACGATCGATAAAGAAAAACCCAACCAAGTTTCCAGAGATTTGCCTGCGTGCAGATGTGACAAATTGTGTGACATGTGGGCCTCAGAGGATCATGGGAAAGTTGATAACACGTGACATTTCAAGACTGGAACGCGTGGTTGATTTTGCAGAAAATTTGCAGTAAGACATGTATTTCAATACTAATTCGATGTTGGTATTTTTTATTGCTTACAGGTGTCTTACATTGATGTATTAGAAACAGAGCTTTATAAAGAATTTTTATGGTAAGAGTTTTGATATTTCGGAAATAATCTTGCATGTTAAGTCATTCTTATTTTCAGAAAATAGCTTGTGTATGTTTATGTCTCAAGCCAAGAACCGTGCAGAAAGAAGTAAGTTTTGCCAGAAAATGTGAAGAAAAACTTAATTGGCAATTAACCATGCAACAAGAGTTGCAATTGGAAAGTAATGGTAAATAAAAATACTTGTACGCCATGGAACGTGCAGAAAGAAGCAAGTTTTCGCAAAAAATGTCAAAAGAAACTACATTAGCAATTAATCATGTCACGAGTTGCAATTCGAAAGTCATCTTAAAAAAAAGTTTGCATTATTAATTTTGACCCTAATAACGTGCCATAGAGAATCCCCATTCCTTCAGTGGTTCGTACAATGACTGCATCAAAAATCATCTATCTTTACCATGAAGAGTGTCGTGAACATTGTGTGGAGCCGCTAAAGGAGCATACCTGTTTCTGTCTTCTAGAGGTTTGTAGTACGTCTAAGCAAAAGTCCTTGCAGGGGTTGGACAGTACGTCTACAACTGGTGAAGAAGCATATGAGGTGACAGCCTCAATCGTTGAGAATGTAGGTTGACACGGTGCTGGTGCAACATAAACCCAAGACACCCTTCGGTCATTATGGGCTGGAAGGAATTATCTCAAAAGTGTATACAAGAGTCCTCTAGGACTGGAAGAGCCTTGTGCTGATCACTCTACTGTGTTTGCACTATTGGATCCAGTCTAAGAGAAATTTTCAGGTGAATGTTGCCACGATCACAACCAGACATGTTCCTAATGCAAGGGTATTGTTGATGTTCTGAAAGCTATCAAAGACACTCTCAGAAATGGAGATCTGGACTTGAGGGAGAAGCAAAAGGAGAGAGCAAGTGCGACTTAGATCACGCGGTTTCCAGCATCGATGCTTGAAAAGCTCATTAATTCATATTGAGGACTTTTCAACAAGATCTAGCGAGACAAGATACACTCGATTGGTTAGATGACCAGACCATTATGGTTATTAATGACTGGGCCATGAAATTATTTCCCATATGCTTCAGAGAAAGGCGGTCCCAATGGTTCGCCAAGTGCGGAAGTAGCTGGCACTTATCTGCTGTTGTTCACAAATCAAACCATCCTGACTGTCCAGTAGTATTCACAAGTGAACACTTAATCCCCATATGTGATTACCATTGACAGCTGCAAACAGGACTAGTTTTCTGTTTCTTGTATACTTGAAGATGTCCTTGTCTGTGTCAAAGAGTCGCATCAATCAGTATGTAGAGCGATCCTGAGAAGTGATAATGTTGGATGCTACCACTGTAATGCACTTTCGTCAACCATCAATTCCACTAGCAGAAGGTAAGGCATCAAAGTAATCGGCTAAGATTTCTCTGACCCTCAGTCGGGTAAGGACTTATGTGACAGAAAGATCGCCCCTTGCAAACAGCGCCTTCGACATGTTGCTGAAAATCACAAAGTGAAAAAAAAAAAGAAAGGCTTGGAGTCCCCAGGAGGAATTGCAGGAATGAGTGTTGCGGAATGCAAGGTTGACCAACCCATGATGTCAGCAGGTGCTGCTAATAAGATTCCTGGAATACCGAAATACAGTAATTTCTCTCTGACTTCTAAAAGCATGTGCGTCTGGCAAGCTTACAATTTTGGAGAGGGCATGGATATAGAGGGGTCTGGGAGTGAACAAGATGTCTCTTGGCTCGAAAGGATTGTGGATTGACTGCCTTTTTCTTTTCAGAATTTTGATTTCTTTTTGTTAGGTCACCAGTACAAAAATCATCACCTTTACCAAATGCAACAGAGACACCAGTTGTTGACCTGCCATGCTTTTGCGCCTCACCAAGCAACTCCTAAAATTTGCATCATGAAATTAGTCTGAATTAACAATATACTCAATAAAAACAGTAATTGCAAGTAATTCATCCTAATTATTCTGCTATCCCAATCTCTGCCTTTCCAAAAAGAAAAAAAGACATTCATGTTTACATTGACTTCCATGGCCAGTCTGTACTTATAAACACGACACTTACTTTCAGATGTCCAAAAGTATTTGTTTAGGATAGTTATTCGTTATGAAAAATTCATGAAATCCCTGTGTCGACATAGCCCCAGTTAAACATAATTTAAAGCATTGTTAGGTTATAGAACACATCATACTTGTCGTGAAACATCTGACCATTGGTCAGTGATTGTGCTTCTGATTGCGATGGCAGGTACAAATTTCTTTTCGCCTCTGTCTGCACCTTTGTTAACACTTGTTGTTGGATTCAGCCATGACAGCACCTGGAATAGTAGCACTTGTACTGAGTTAATTTTACAAGTAAAATTACCAATCTATACGTGTCATTATGTATGTTAAGCACAATTTTTATTTACTCAATGAGGCCAGTTTACTGGACAGTAACGAATTATTCATTTAGTACAACACAGCATTACTACAGTGTAAGAATAGCAGAAAGGAAGTATAATGTTCACTTATTTTGATCCTTAAATTTGGGATCAAGGCTCAAAGAAACAGTTTGCCCATGGATGTCCTACGGTATGAATGTAAGGTTAATTTAAAGGTGACTTCTTTTCCATAAATTACCTGGCTTTTCGAAGGATTTTTGTGGTAGAAAAGGGCACTCTGAATCTTTTGCAAGGTTGTTTGAAAACCTTGCATAGTGTCCTGAAACTGCAAGTATTGTCTCACAACATCTAAGAGATTAACTGGGTGGCCAGCTGTGAGGCACAACTAAAAGAAAACTAACCAAAAGCTTTTTAGCAGTATTAGAGATGAATTAATAAGTTTGTTCCTGCAAAAGGAATAATGTTTCGGGCTTTGAGGTTTGTAACCATCCATCTTGATCTATCTATACTATTGTATTTAAAGTAATTCAATTCAGTTACTTAAGATCACCACACAATCGATTGTGTCACTTCCCTAGTACACATTTCACAATGAAAATGAGGTGCTATAAAAATTGCTATTCGATTTGCAACAATTTACATATAATAATCTCAAATGAACTTGAAACAATTACCAATGTAATCACCCTAGCAACACCCTTGAGCCATCTTGACTGATAATTGGGGAGCTTCTGTGCCAGAAGTGAAGTCAGCTCAAGACTTATGTCAGCATCTTCAGCTGCCTTTACCAAACTGTTGTATTTCACAGCTCACAACGTCAGCAATCCCTAAAACCAGAGTTAGTTACAGTTTAATCTGTATAAATAATACATGCATTCATTATAATCGTATTTCAGCACTTTACTCTGGTACATCGATCATTGTTACAATAAATTTAGGACATTTTACACAGTACTGAGTTTGATAAACCATTATCCTTTTTTCAAATAAACATTTCAAGTCCTACAAGCAGAACAACGTAGCGTTATGTTTCTTTTATGCAATAAGGCCTTGGATAAAATGATTGGTCCTTTACAGTTATGTTTGCATTACCTTATTGCTTTGAACATGGGCCAACGGCTCACTAATGCCTTGTTCAACATCCCTGCTGAACCCTCCTGAATCTTTAAAAGGGAATTTAATCACCCTTCCAACTAATCTGAAATAAAGATTAGTCTATTTCAAAAATGGAATAGTAGATATCTCGATTAGATAGAATTTTCAAAAAGCAATTCCATGTCATCAACTTCAGCAAAAGTGAAGTAACAAGTCGTTGAAAATATCATACCGCTCTGGCTCATTAAAGTTTGACGTCAGTATCATGCTTCCCTTTGGTATTGATTGTCCCTGTGCTGTTGAGCCCTGCATCAGACCCCCTTGTAGTTGCAGCAAAAATTCTGCTAATGCCGATGTCATTTTGCCATCGTCAAGGAATGTGACCAATGTGGTCTTGCAAACCTTGTTCATCACCATCTTACTAAAAATAATATTGAAGTAATTAATTTCCAGAAATAATTGTTTAAATTCAAAAATTGGTCATAACCAGCCATTGATTTAGTCAGTAACACACAACTGAGCATGGTTGATGTGAAGCTATGGTGAGTCTGTACAGAGCGAGACTGAACAACGGAGAATGAGAGGCAAAGGATTAGAAGTTGGAGGAGAGGGCAAGGAGAAGGCGAATGTGCGACTTACAGTGAAGTCCCAGAGATACATTGATCCCCAAGAGATAACAGAAGGGGATGATCCTTCCTCTGGCGTCCCTGTCCATAAGCCAGAACCTGTAGGCATGTGGTGTTACAAACACTTCTTGGTGTACTCTGAATTATACCGATGTTTGCTTCTCCTGGAAAACGTATGTAAATATTAAGTGGTTATTTCAATACTCACATGTAGGTCTAAAAAGAAAAAAAAGAATCCTTAATTAAGGAGATTTGAACACCTGTGGTTAGATAACACAGTCTGCGACAGTAATAAAATGATCAGTGATAAATTATATAGCCTGGTGTGTAGCAGTAGGCCAATTTCAGAATTTCACAATATTCGCTGATCAAGCATGGGATAGTAAATAAATGGTGAATTAAACCGTACCAAAGATAGTTAATTGTCAAGGATACATAAGACAAACTAATCACACCTTCCTTGTACAGAGAAAGCAATAACGTACTTGTCAACGATACCACTAATGATACCATTCTTAATATAAGTTAAGTGATGCAATAATGTATGTATGTATGTATGTATGTATGAAGGCCCTATTCTCATGTAAAAGGTAAATGGGAAGGAAAATCAGGCAGTTTATCAGATGTTACTGAAGGTTTTATTCTCATTGTACTCCTTCATTATTGAAATATACATTTTGCCCCCCACCCAAACCTCTCCTCTTGGCCTTCAAGGACCTCTTTCCTATTGCAAATTCCTGACCACCTTCCTGGAGATGGGGAAGGAGTTGAGTTGTGGGATGTAACCTAACCAAGGGACGGGGCACATCTCTTTTGCAACACTTGATAAAAGCATGCAGTTGATCATAGTACAAAAAAAATGCTAGAATGTGATCTTGTCTAATGCGGTATAAAAATACTTAATTATTTAGCATATGATAACTTCCCTGGCAGATATATATTGAAATGTTTGCTGTGGTGTGAACCTTTTCAGGGCAATGTGAAACTGGTTTGTACATGTTAAAATCCTTTCCTCAATGTCAGTGCCTAACCAACGCAACTCCTCATTCTGACTTAAATAGATCCGACGATCTTCCAGAACAAGCTTTCCATTCACCAGTATAACCTAAAACATAAAAAGGCAAAATTAGGTCCACGCATCCACAAACTGAAAACAATTTAAAGTCAATCGTCTTCTATTGCAATAGGCCTTATCACGGTTTTCGATGCCATTTTTGACGGGTAGGCAAAGACTCTGGAGGTGCAGTTACCAATTCCCATACATTTCTTTGTAAAATATTCAGGATCGAAGTGAACGCCAGCTACATTTCCGTTATTTACAGCTCTTCTACCTAACCTTTAAACCCAAGCTTCCCAGACATTGAAGGTAAGTAATTTTTCTAGTCCTGTATAAAAAATCAGCCAACTAGCGTTAATATTTCACCCGATTTCAAGCAAATGTTTTGGGCCTTGTGAAGTTGTGTGACACAAGCTACAAGCACATGGCGAACAGGAAATCACTTCCGCCCGCTTATCGTGCAGCCTTTAATTATTTGAAAGCTCAAACCTTATGCTAAATAATAATAAAGTAATGTAAACTACCTCTTTTGTGTTGTGATTCGCTGAAACTTCGATAGTTGATCGATAGTTGGTAGTTTTGGCTTTTATTTTAGGTCAAAATCTGTTTTTGTTTAACTCAGACTTAGTTAGCCAGACACACCTGATTTGTTTCCTTTTAGGTTTTCCTATGTCACTCAAGGCCAAGAAAGCCTTCTGCTGCGTCGGTGGCTGCAATAATGATAATAGATATCCTGAGAAATACGTAGTCCGGTCACGTGAAAGTTATGCACTTCTTTAAGTTTACACAAGTTAAAGGACAAACGCCAAATTTGGATAAATAACATTGCTCCAGGATTAAGCAGAAAAGTATCTGAGGGAAGGGATCATATGTTTGTGCCAATCATTTTGTACATGGTGAACCAACAAACGAGAATCCTCACCCTACACTCTTCTTGTCTCTGTTGCAAGCTAAGTTTCGCAAATCTCCAAAGAAAAGAAAAACTCTAGAGAGAGCTGGAACATCCGATGCAAATAATCACAGTGATGACAGTAATACACATGAGTTTACTGCAGAAGTAGCTTTGGATACTGCAGTAAATGATGATTCTAACATGGATGTAGTTTTAGATACTGAACCTGAGTCATCACAAACAGAGGATTCAGACTGGGATCCAGAAATTGTGAGGCCAGATCTCATTTTAAAACAAGTATGCAAAGCGGGAATGGTAACAGTGTATACAGGGTTACCTGATGCAGAGACATTCAGTTATCTGTTTGATTATTTTAAGCCAAAAGCTAAAAGCATGAACTATTGGAAAGGCAATCACAAGTTCTAAAAGAAAAACCTAATGAAAGGACTGCACAGCGTCTTACTGAGGTATTTGAAAGGTACGAAGATGCTGGCATAGAACCACCCTCAGTCAAGAGAGGGCCATCCAGAAAACTAAGTCTTGAGCAAGAGTTTCTCATGACTCTTATGAAGTTTTTTTTTTTATTTTTTTTATTTTTAATAACATTTATTCAATCAACAATCAACAATCAAAAATACTTACAAACACTACGATACTTACACTACTTACAATACAATATTTAGAATACAATAGACTAAGGTACTTACTCTGTTTACAATGTAAAGACTTACAATACTCAGTACTTACAACACTACCTACTCACTACTCACACTACAATGCACTATTTACAAGCAGTTCTAATTAGTAATTGTACTTCAAAACCAACATTTATTCACGGTAAACGCACTTATAAAAACGCACTTATATCTTAAGTGTCTTAAAGAGGCAGCGATTGTGAAGCAAAAGATACACCAGGTTAATGCTGGAGAAAATGAGCAGAGGATCGAGTTATACAAATGTATACAAAATCAAAGGCTTACTGAAATAAGGAGCTCACATTTTCCCACTTTTTTTGGTAAAATGGGACCTGCAGTGGTCTCTATGTGGTAGAATGATTTGAGGTATTGCAGGAAGCCTGCTATCTTTGGCGAGGTTTCCCTTCTTTTGCTAATCCAGATGTAATTTCTGGCTAGAAGGAAAAGGAAATTAATTTGCTGGCAGTTTTTTGAAGAATCCAGCTTTAGACCAAGTACAACAAATATATCTAATATGTAATGTTCCGGTGTAATGTGGAGCAAAGTCAGCTTAAGAGATAAACTATGCCAGAAAAAGGCCACTTTAGGACAAGACCAAAAAAGATGAAGAAGTTTCTCCGGTTCATTATTACAAACAGAACAATTTGGGTTGTCTTTTACGCCAATTTTTGTTAAGAAGTCGTTCGTTGATATTCGTCTATGTAAAAATTTATATTGGAATTCAATAATTCTTGTACTTTTAGTATATTTAGCAGCCAACTGGTAGGCTTCCCGCCAATTAATCGCCTTCACATCATTTTCGTTGCAGTCTTTTAGCCATTTCTGTTGATTATGGGATGGTAACTTGCATTTTGTATAAAGCAACTTGGTGTATACAAGTTTGCTCGCACTTTGGCATTCTGTTAATCTTACTACAAAGGTTTCATAATTGTTGCAGTTTTTGATGCAGTTTGTTTTACATGTAGTCCAAAGAGATTTTAGAGCAGACACTAGTCCGAAATACTTTAAAAGACAAACTTTGAGGCTGTATTTTTGCTGCAGCTCAGCTAGTGATAAAAATTTGTTATGTTCATCTTTCAAATGTTTCACTTTCGTAACGCCTCGATCAAACCATTCACAATAGAAGACAGGACAGTTATCGATTCTAATGAGTGAGTTGTGCCATAAAGTTTGTTCAAGAAATTGTTTCTCGGACGTTATGTTTTCATCAAAATTGACTTCCGCCCAGATTGAAAGTATCTCTTTTATAAAGTTATTCTTAATCTTGAGATTCTCAATGGTATCTTTCTTGTTTAAGTTACTAGTGAGGACTATTGTGCCTCCAACTCGCTCTAACTCTATATCAAAAAAATATTTCCACTTTCCCTGGTTCTCTTCATCCAGATATTTTTTAATCCATGTAGCTTTCAGGGACTTGTTAAAAGACTGTGTCTATCATTTTAAGTCCTCCATTAGCATAATCGTTTGTTATAATGTCTCGTTTGATTTTATCTCCTTTTCCATTCCAGAGGAATGAAAAAATAACTTGTTTACTTCTTTGATAATTTTCACATTTGTGTGTAAAGGTGAGAGCACATAAACGAGCTGAGAAGCAACCAGACTTTTTAGGACCATTATCTTTCCAACTAGGGTAAGTCTACGGTATTTCCGGACCTTATCTAGTTTTTCATTATAATTTAAAGTTGCCTTTGCTTCCGGATCATTTGAAAACCAGGCACCTAAAGCTTTAACTTTACACTTCGGCCATTTAAAGTTTCTTCCGAGAATTGATATTTCATCTTTGTTACAATTTGCCCCAATCCAAAAGGCTTCTGTTTTTTTGTCATTAAGTTTTAAGCCAGAGACTTCATAAAAATCGTCCAGTGTTTTGAGAGAGGCTATTAACGATTCCTTTGTTCCATCTACTATAAGAGTTGTATCGTCTGCATACTGACTTAGTTTTATTTCTTTACCGTTTACAAAGATCCCTTTAATACTTTTATTTTCACGAATTGCCTTAGCTAAAACTTCTACTGCCAGAACAAGCAGATAAGGTGAAAGGGGACAGCCTTGCCTTACACCTTTTTGGATTTCAAAAAAAATCGCTCGCCCAACCATTATTCAAAACGCAGCTTTCTGGGCAGCAATAGAAAAGGTTTAGCCATTTTAAAATGCTACTACCAAAACCAAAATGTTGAAAGGTTTTCCTAATGAAAGGCCATTCTATCGTGTCAAAAGCTTTTTCAAAATCTAAAAACAAAAGTAATCCTGGTATATTGTTTTCTTTAGCGTAGCAAATAACGCTATCGATAAGGCGGATGTTTTCTCCGATAAAACGACCTCTTATAAAGCCAGTCTGGTCGTAATTAATGAGATCAGGGAGGAGAGGTTTCAAGCGATTAGCAATTGATTTTGCCGCCATTTTATAGTCGCTGTTCAGGAGGGTTAGGGGTCTCCAATTCTTAATAAAGAACGGTTCTGCGTCTTTCTTAGGGATAAGTTTGATAATTCCTCTTCTCTGGGTTATTGAGAGTTTTCCAGTTTCATAAGCGTAGTTCAGTGCGCTAATTAGGGTGCTGGATACATCTTTCCAAAACACTTTGTAAAATTCGGCTGGTAGGCCGTCTGTCCCAGGGGTCTTTTCTGATTCCATATCTCTTAAAGCCTCAAGGCACTCTTTTTCAGTTAAAACTCCTTCGCACAAAGTTCATTCATATTCGTCAATGGCTCTTTCATCACCACCCTCAAAGAAAACAGTTGTACCATCTTGGTTGTATGTGTTACCTTTGGATGAGTAGAGATTTTTATAGAACGCCACACATTCAGTTAATATTTTTTTATCCGAGGTGACAAATTTGCTATCGTTTATTTTAATTTGACTTATTGTCCCTTGATTGTAGTGTCGTTTTTCTAAATTAAGAAAATACTTGGTGTTTTTCTCTCCTTCATTATACCATTTAGTCTTAGATCTCAAAATTGCGCCTTTGGTGCGGATTTCAATTATCTTTTCAAGCTCAAGCCTGCTTTCATTCAATTGTTCCTCCCGGTGTAAGGAGTGCATTTCATCGGAGTTTTTATTATCGAGATCCGCTTCTAATCTGGCAATTGTTTGTTCCAGAAATGTTTCGCGTTGTTTAGCTTGCTTTGTTTTGCTCTTGGAGTAGCGGAGCGATTTTTCGCGCACTTTTAGCTTTATCATTTCCCAAAGAAGTGAAGGATTTACCGATTCGTCATTTTTGTACTCATCGAGTGTTTCCTGAATCGTTGTTTTAATTTGGTTTACGTAATCCAATTCAGTTAAAAAAGATGTGTTTAGTTTCCAGAAACCTGGTCCACATAGATTTGAATGTAGTGATAAGCATAACGTAGTCATTGAGTGGTCGGTTTTATAACCTGGGACGATATCTGCGAGGGTCATGATGTTAACTGTGCTTTGGCTTACTAGAAAAAAATCGAGCCTACAGTGCACTTTTGGATGACGTTGTCTCCAGGTAAATCTACTAGTGTCTGGGTGCAGAATCCTCCAGACGTCTACCAGATCTAGTTTCTCAGAGAATTCTTGAACAACTTTAACACTATTTTGGTGAGTTTTAGTAAGACCACCCATCTTGTCCTTCTCTAAATCCAGTACAAGATTGTAGTTGCCTCCTATAATAATATCATCACATTTGAAATCTGCAAGGTGATCAAAGAAGTCAAGGAAGAAAGTTGGGTTGTCTTCATTAGGAGCATATATGTTCCCTAAAGTAAAACACTTTTCATTGGTTTTAATGTCGCAAATAATGAAGCGTCCTTGGGGGTCAGTGTAAGTTTTTTCTATTTGAAAATCGAAGTTGTTGTTGAAAAGAATGCATACCCCTGCTTTATTGCTCTTATAAGTACTAAAAATAGCTTGATAGCCCCATTCAGCAGACCATACGTGATTAGTATTTTCAGTGCAGTGGACTTCTTGTAGCATATATGCCGAGTAATTTTTTTGCGAAGCCAATTAAACACCTCTCTACGCTTTGTATTGTCTCTTAATCCCCTGACGTTTAGTGATGCTATTGTCAAAGCCATAGATATTCTCTTGGGCAGCTTTGCAGAGGAAGCCTTACATCACCTGGTGTCAAAGCTCCACAATCGCTGCACGGTATGATAGGAATTTGTACTAGGCGTTTACTTCTAAAACAAATGATTAAGCTATTAAAACATAGAAACCAAACAGAACATGCACAGATAAACACAACTAAATAAGAAACCTCTTCGCAAAGGGACATGGGGGGGAAGCTAGGATTTTTACCTAGAATCTTACAGACAGATAAGAAAAACCGAAGCGCCATCAGTTACGAACCTCTATTCCGATCGCCTAAATAATTATCTAGCAATTGATAATAACAGGTGGCAAATGTGGTCAAACGATACTAACGTGATCTTGGTTACCTAATGAGTAATGACATGATGAAGAAGCATTCTCACCTATCCTGGTATCTCGAGAGGTTTACCAACTGGCGAAATTTTACCTTTTATCAAGAGCTTATCCGGTTGTGCCCGACTAAAAGATGCAGGGATGTTATTTTTCCTAGCTTCTTTAAAAGTGTCCATTTGCTTTCTTCTTCTTGCTACTATTTCGTAGGGTAGATCTTGATACATTTTAAATCTGCTTCCTCGCAAACGGGAGCCCAAAGCTAGAATTTCTTCACAGTTCTTATAGCGGAGGAACCTTGCGATAATTTGCCTGGGCTTTTCTTCCTTCTTCTTTCTTAAGTGATGAACCCTCTGTATTTCAACGGTGCTTGCATCTTTGTATCCTAATTCCGTCGCGAGGAAGTTGCGAACAACTAATTCAGTGTCTTCTTTGTCTGTTTCTTGCACAATATTTTCAAAAATTATATTTTCCCGCCTCGAGTAGGCTTCCAAATAGAGATTCTTGTCTTGTACCTCTTTAAGCTTAGCTTCTAAATCATTTTTCTTCTGCAAATCGGTTAAAGCAAGATCTGTTTTCTCCTGATAAAATTTTAGGCTCGCTGTCGAATTCTGCTGTTGCTTCTCAGCTTTATTTAAGCTTTCTTTCAAGTTCTCAATGTCGTGGCTGGCGATTGTTTGCGAATATTCCAGCTTCTGTATTCTTCCTTCCAATTTTTGAAGGGACGTTTGGACATCATTTACTGTTGTTTGGATAGCGTCTAGCTTTTCCAGCTTTCGATTTATCTCCTCCAAAGCTTTATGAAAGCCTTCGGCCATGTTCAAAACCGTAAAGATTTCGTCTTCAACCTCGTGCTCCTCGACTTCTTCAGGAGAGTTTACTTCATCACTCCTCGCTTTTTTTGCTTCTGGTGAAGTGCTCGACTCCTCTGAAGAGGAACGCTCGCTTCTTTTCCGTTCCAAGATCTTTTTCAACAGTTCTTCCATTTACCACCCGGGAAAAAAAGAATATGTGGCGGACAGATCAAGGACACGTCTTACGCCATTGCTACCCAGGCCCCTTTTTCACTCTTATGAAGTTAAGGATTGGGTTACTCGAAGATGACCTAGCATTCAGGTTCAAAGTTTCTCAATCACTTGTATCAGCAATTCTGTCAACATGGTTGAGATTCTTAGCAAAAGAACTAAGTTGGATGATTATTTCGCCAAGTAAAGGTCAGGTAAAGCTACATTTGCTTGACCCTTTTAAAAGACTTTATCCAAATGTACGTTGCATTATTGATTGTTTTGAGGTGTTTTCTGAGACCCCACGTGCTTTAGATATTCAGGCAGCACTATGGTCAGATTACAAGCACCACTATACAGTTAAATTCTTGGTAGCCATTACACCGAATGGGGCTCCTCGTTATGTATGACAGTGTTATGGTGGCAGAGCTACGGATAAATATATTGTACGAGACTGTGATTTTTTAAAATGTGTGGAGCCTTATGACCAAATCATGGCTGACAGAGGATTTAAAATTAGCGAGGAGTTGCTGCTGTGAAATGCCTCATTGTGTATTCCACCAAGCACAAAAGCAGGGATGCAAATGTTTGCAGGGGATGTCAGAGAAACATCACAAATTGCTAACGTGAGAATTTATGTTGAACAGGTAATTGGACGACTAAAACAATTCCACATTTTAAAGAAGATCCTTCCAATTAACTACCTGCCGTTGTGTGATGACATTGTGCAAGTTGTGTGTGCATTAACTTAACTTAACCCTCTGTTTTTGAACAACAGTGGTTACAGTGTAGTTTACCCTGTGGTTAATGGCTACAAGATTAAGTTTGAACTACAACTTGCATTAACATTGCATAAAAGAAAGCTAAATTACAATTCTCAAAGTTCAATCAGTACAAACAATATAATGTCTGTTAAGTTATCCAGTCAAAAAAATCTTGCCCTCATGCAATTATCCTCAAGGATTCATTTAACTAAGAAAAATACTGCTGAATCCTTTGGCTTGGGGGGTTGGAGCAGAAAAGACATAGAACGTTACAAGGGGAAGACATGGGAATTATGAAGTTGAAGTTCTTCAAAACAAAAGATAAATAAATCTGGGTTCATTTGTGTATAAAACAACTACATGAGGATTTTCACAGTCTGTGATTCTTAAAGTTAATCAGTTGCAATGACATTCAAATTCTCAGTCATGAGATCCTCCAGGCAAGCCTGGCAGAGCCACTCTTGCACTTCTTCAGTGCTTCTGACTTGCACACAATGAAAGTGGAACCATAAAGCACAATTATCACAGCAAACACTGTCGTCAGGTGAGTCATCAGGAAGTTCTTCACCCTCAAAAATTGGCTTCTGACATACAGCACAGAAGTAGTATGGTGGCCCAACGTTATCATAGTAAAATATGTACGATTTTGCGAAGAAAGAATAAAAAATAGAAAGAAACAAAAAAGCATAAACGATAAAAATAGAAAAAAGGTAGAAAAATAATAAAGTAATACAAAATTTACAAATATCTAGAAAAAAAAGGAAAAACATAGGTTTATATCAATCATGGTAAAATTATAATTAAGCCTTAAAAAAGAACTTAGAACAATTTTATTGGGAAAACGACATTTGGAAAAACATTGAAAATCAACAATGAAAATCAATGTCAAAAGCCAACAATGAAAATCAACATCGAAAACCGACATTGAAAACAACATTGAAAATCAACATTAAAAATCAACATTGAAAAAAATAGAGAACGTCGAAAAAACATCGATATTTTCCACGTGGCCCATTATCACAGACCAGGATGCTTTGCATGCGTGCATTCAACACATTACCAGAATACATTCATCAGAAGCTCCTGATACATCAGGGTTGTTCGATTGGTGCCTAATATTTGCAGTATGTGATTGTGAAAGTTTCCATTGTAAGCGCGAAACACAAAAACAAAGGAAGCATTAAATAAATTATTGTATATAAATACAGCCGGCTCAGCTTATGGCCCAACGTTCTCGTAGGTGGTGATGCTTTCCATCAGCAGATCTTGAGAGGAGCCCACAAGATATGAGGAGATCAAAATAGTCCCTCTTCTAAAATGAGTAGAATAAGGAATCCAACCTGGGAGAACGATGAGAACCTGAAAGCCGATATACAGAAATACGTGATCCAGAATTTGACTCGCAAAGAAGTTCTAGACTTTCTGGGTCGAGACTATCCGCAATATGTGTGGAGTCTTCCAGCGTTGAGTCGTAGGATGGCTTACCTCGAGATAAAATACATAGACTACGAAACAGACCTGAAAGTCGTGGAAATGGCAGTTAAAGAAGGAATTAGTGGAGGAGGACAACTCTTGGGGTACCGATCAATGAACTGAAAGTTACGAGAGCACCACCAGCTGGCAGTTCCACGAGGCTTAGTGGACGATGTGATGACGAAGTTTGACCCTGAAGGTCTTGAGAGCCGTGGAAAAGTTGGACAAAAGAAGCGGCACAGAGGGCCGACTGGCACATTTACATCACTGGTAAGATAAGCTTATCTAATAGTGCTGTTGATACAATTTCCGTGCGATCCCGTAAGTTCATTTAATTGCAGTCGAACCTCGATTATCTGGACTTGTTTTTTTCATGAATATTAATAAGATGTGATCTTGAAAATTGAAACCATTAAAAGTTCATTAATCTTTTTAAATGTTTTCAAACATATATATTCAAAACTTTGAAGTCTGTTAAAACCCAACACCTGTTGCCAAACATTTATATTGTCGAGTGTTTGTGGAGCAAAGTTTTGCCCTTTTGATTCGTGTTCACATATTGTACTTTATATTGCATAAGTGCTAGGCTTTATCCGGCTTCTTCATTTAGATCTAACATGTTTGATACCATTTGGACAGCATGTTCAACATCACGACCAGTTTGGCCACCAAAAATGTTTTAGGAGTGTGTAGTCATGAGACATTTCTCGTTTGGACAGGCCTTTGATCATGAAAAAGCAGGTCCTCAATGGAAATTGACAAGTTTTTTGGTTGTATTTGGTTTCTTACAGGGCCCAAACCACACGTACTCTGGAGATGGCCATGATAAACTTATGGATTTCATGAACAACGCATTTCCCCTTGCGTTTATGGTTTACAAGATGTTTTTGGTAGCTACATTCTTTATTTGAAACTGTGGCCCTCAAACTCAGATCCTAAACTGATAGCATGGTGGTATTTGGAGTATCTTTATGAGTCAAGGGGTAACTGCAGTTGATAGTTTTTATCATAGAAGGGGCTAAACAGAGTCTGAGATCAATATTGGTGAAGAGGAATGTGTACAAGTCCCAGCTCCTAGACCCACCAAATTGTCCATAAGCAATACACCCTGCTCCCCCTGCAGTATCTTGTAAAAGAGTTTCTTACCTCCAAACACTAATTTGTCTTATTCCCCCCCCCCCACCCTCCAATGGCTGTTTAATGGCTCACAATGAAAGGTATTGTCGAAAATGAGTCACATGTCTCTGAACAATTGACGCCTCACACCCAAGCAAACAAAAACAATAACAAAGGCACATGCAGCATAATGGACAATACTGGGTCTTCAGATAACTGGAGAGTTTTCATCTTGTTCAGGGGGCAGTGTACTTGAGCAATAATTAGGTATAGGGGTGCTGCTGAGGGTCCGACCCCCAGACCCCATTTAGGATAAAAAAAAGTAAACCTACCCCACATAGGACAACACCTGCTATTTTAGGAAAGGGAGTACCCCCAGTGTCTTGATAACGTTTGTCATATAACATCCTAAAACATAAATTAACATTGACGCATGAAATCTGAAACTTTCAGCAGAATTTGTCAATTTTACACGACCTCATTCTGGGCCCTTCGATATTATTAATATTAACAGCTTGATGACTGATGTCCTTTATTGTGGACTCAGGATACAAAGTATAAATAGGTTATGACCATTGATCTTTTGTTACCCTCAACAGTAATCAGCCAATATCTGAGGCTGGATAAAGGATCAGACACTGGCATAATGGCAACCATTCATGCTTATCTAAGTCCCACGAAGATATTGATGCATCCAACACGATTCACTATGGGCCTTCTACTAATAATAAAGTATGGGTAATAATCACGTGCACCTCAATGGTTTGCATGTGAGTTTAGTACATGAGCAAGTAATTGCTGTGAAGCCACCACGCTTTGCAGCACACTAATTCAGGTCGCATACGTGACCTGGGTTGCCTGTTAATGTACTTTTGAGTTGCCTAAAATAAGTTCTTATACAGTACTTTACAGCTGTAATTGTGTGCAATCATTATTGTTAGTGTCAGTTTTCTTTAATTGTCCTGCCCAGAAAATCAAGTCTTTCATGCAAGGTATTTAACTAGTTAAGAATTTGATTTAATTTATTCAGTTATATTTCATTTTATTTGCCACACAAAAATAGAAATTACAAATACCAGTAATATACATGTAGGAAAAGTAGAAGAAGTGGCGCCTAATTATTCATAATATTCAAACAGATTGAGAGTTGGTGGCGAGAACTCCATCATAGAATGGAGAAATTCTTCAAGAGGCAGTTGAGAATGCTGTTAGAGAAAGGGTTCTATGACCGAGATGATGAAATGGACACCTTTTGGCATTTGTCTTCATTCCTGTTATACAAAAGGAAATGGACATATTCAGGGAAATGATATGGAACTCTCACAGAGTGAGAGCTCAGAAAGAGGCCCAGATGCCTAAGGGTATACCAAATCATTTGTACTCTTTTCCAAAAACTTATGGTGCCCAAGAATGTGGTATGTTAACATCATAAACCAAAACGTTTTAACCAATACTCCATCAACGCCAATTTTGTAATGTGAAGTGAAGGTTATGCAAAAGTTTAACAGACCTTATGGCGGGTGCTTATTATTATTATCTATTTTTCTTTCATTTTCCTGGTCAATCATTTAGATCTGGAAATGAAATATCACGTCAAAACAAGTTTTTATGAGCACCAAAACACAGCTGAAATCAACTCTTGTAGGGGAAAAGTAACTGTGAAAATTGTGATGAACTTCCACAAAGTGTCTTCCATAAGGTCTGGACTTTCCTATCACCCTCACTTGTATCTACCCTTTATGTTTTCAAAATTAAACAAACTGGTTTCAGAAGAAAAGTTTTAGTATACCTATTACTTTCAGTGGAGAAATACAATTTACCAACATTAAAGCTGTAGTAGGCCCTAAACTAAAATGTACTGTACAGCAAGTTCCCCAGTTCTCCTTTTTTTGTCCACAGCAAATGATCCTCCTATTTTTCTAAAAGGATACTTGAGGGTCCCAGAATGAGAGACCAGTGCAATTATTTTTTTTGATGAAAAATCATCCAGTTTTGCTGAAAATTTGCAGATGTCATATCTTGATGTGTTACAAACTGTACTTTACGAAAGACAATTTCCTTTTTTTTTTTTTAATCTTCTCTGACATTCTTTGCAATTTTGTTTTCTTAAGGACTGCCACTTACCCAAGAGGCATTAAATGAGGTTGCAAAAGTGTCATGTGTTATGACTGTTGGAGAGGATTTCCTTCCTGCAGCGGTGAGAACTGAATGCGAGCGGATCATTCCAGATGTAGATGGCATCAGACCCACTGATACCGCAGACACATTTTTATTTTTGAAGGCTAATTATAACCAGGAGCAATCAACTTAGCAAGATTTTTTTTATTTATTTAAGGTGGACATATACATGTACTGTGGAACATCGACTATCAATGACGTGCAGAATGTTATGCATGAATTTTGATTAACAACTCCATGGTCTCGAGTACAAAACCTGAAATTGTTGTTGTTGAAAGACAAATACATAATTATGTACCCAGATATTCTAAGCAGCTGTTCAAAACTTTCTATTTTAACATTCTTTTATAAATATCCGTATTTTGAGCAAATATTTAAAAACACAACCTTAATAGAACACTTCTGTGGCAAGATGAAACCAACAATAAAGTTCACGGCTGACTCCTGAGTGTGTCCATTGAATATGTTATTCCCATAACCTGCTGTACATGTGTTGATTCAATTCGCCACTTTAGAAAATACCACAATTATCTTTTTCTTCCCCCAAAAAATTTTGCATAACCATTGTTTTTAGTTTCTCTTGGAACTTAGAATCGTCCCAAGAGAAACTGAAAACAATAGTTATGCAAAATTTTGGGGGGAACAAAAAGCTAATGACGGTATTTTCTAAAGTGGCGAAAAATAATCTATATACAAGTGTACTATCACCCATGCATACTATATTAGCACAGGAGAAACAATTGTGGGCACTGACAGTATCCCATGATAGGAGTAATTTTGTTGACATCAGTGTCAGAGGACATGAGGTTCCTGCTAAGTTTCAAAACCATTCTGGTTGCTCTATTGTTTGCACATGCAAACCTAACAAATGTAAAACTTCTTTTCTCATTTACTTTGATCTTCACCCAAAAAAAGCATTAAAACCTCACTTGGGATTTTTGCACATCTTCCATTCAACTTTTGGGACTCCTTCTGGCTTGCAGAAGTGATCAAACATGGGGAAAATGACCTTCAATAGAACTATATAAATCAGTTTCACTATGTAAAATCAACAGTGTCCCAACCAGTCAAAAAGAAATTAGGCAATAAATAACAAGTTGGGACAAAAATATCCATGGTAAATAATTTTTTTAACTAGTTTCTCTAGGTTTGTAGCTTCCCTGGAGCCACCAATTTGTTCAGTGTTAAAGAAAGCTACCTGAT